AAAATTTATTGAACTCTTAAGCCTGTCAGATATTAGTTTTACCAACAAACGTCTTTCCAAGCCCGTTGTGATATCAAGTATTGATATAAAAGTATATAGAATAACCATGAATGGTAGTTGTAATGACTTAGATAATCCAATTTGGGATAAGCTAAAACAGCGAATATACAAATTATTCAATCAAACTATTCATATAGTATTGCTTAGTAAATATTATTATTTATATGACATATGAATAAAATTAAATTTAAGATAATAGCCAAACAAGAAAAGGGAAATTAGCTTATGAATTATCAATTGTTAGGTCTCAGGTACATAATATGAACAACTGTTTTCATAGATAAAGATTATCCTCTACCTATAGCCGCTGTAGGTACATAATTTACTTATGATGCAATTTAATCAAATTATTACACACGACACTGCAATTTTGCCTTTCAAAACTAAATTAGAATCTCAAAAAATGTTGTTCAAATTAAAACAAGTAATCCTTTACCATTTTTATCAACTTTTTTTCTTATAAAATGATTTCATTCCTATAAATCTGAAGTTTTACTAATAATTACACTATTATTCTAAATTAATGAGAGTGATATGAGGTATATATATCTTGAGATTAAATTACCTACCTATTTAATTGTAGTTAGATAATACTAATTATACAAACAAAAAACATTATGTCTAATTATAAAAATGCAAATTACTTAAAAAATTATCGTCTACTGTTTTTTTTTTTTTTATTTAAATTAATAGTGATTTAACATTTTTTTGTGAAGAACATTTTAATTTAAACCTATGTGTAGACTCAAAACCAAAAGGTGTTAAGATGGTTTTTATAAATGCTTTATAATTAAAACTCACGAAAAAACTATGATAAATCAACATTTATATATTTAAACAAATGTAAAAGGTGCTAAATAACACAATACACTAAAATTTTAAAATCAATAGGTATCATAGGTATAATATTAGGTAAATTAATTAATTTATATTAATTAATTATTAATAAGCAGATTTCTAGGTTTTTGTATATTTATTCTGGTTTATCGTAAAAATTAAGTAATAAACTAATAACAAAATCTCTTTCATTTCATAGATAAAATATGAAACTTAAAATGTTCATATTTTTTTATATTTAAAAGTTTTAAGTTATGTTATGAATAAATATTTAACGATTTGCTCTGTATAGTTCATCGATAAGTACAAGTTTAAAAATTTTCGAAAAAATTAATTCAACATTAAAAATAATATTTATAATGATGTTTATAATTATTATTTTTATTAATATTGAAATAAATAAAAATAGATAATATTGTAATATATAAACTTCTCAGATATATACCATAGTTACAATATTTTTGTATCAAACTATCGGGAAAATTTAAGAGAAGCTATTATCGATCAGGTTTCAGACCATTGGTATTATTTGTTTATTAGACATTTATGGAAAATTAATTTGTTTTTTTTTTTTTTTATAACTTTCTAGTGTATATTATATTTTACATATATTTATAGCTAAAAATTTTCAGTACATTTTATTTCTTTTTATTGCTAATCAATAAAAAGAAATATATGTCATACTCATAGTATTTTAATGCAATAATAAAACTGTTATACAATAATATCTACATAATCATTAAATATCTATCAACAAAATAAATAATTCTACAAATAATAGTACCTACACATCCTCATTTATTTAATCATTTTCCAAAAAATAGATAATTATTTTAGAATAAAAGAGTTTTAAGAAGAAGAATTTATTAACCGTATGTATCATGTTGAGTCATACATTCCTTCCAATGTACCTATTGCCGGATAAATGTTTTACAGGTTTGTGATCGACTGTATTACGAATTTATAACCAAATGTATTCTTTTAATTTAAGTAATATTTAAAAATTTTAAAATAACAAATAAGTTATTAACTTATATATTGACTTTATTTTTTATTATATTATTCCACCTGAAAGATTAACTTAATTAAATACGAAAAGCTATAATATCGTTCATAAAGTGCATATAACAAATATTAGTTATTTCCAAAAGAAAGTGTTTGTTGCACCAAATATTAATCATTAAGTATCTATGAACTAAAATTACTACATGCATTATTTTAAAACTTTGTTATAATTATACTTAAATTTGTAAACTTATGAAGTGTAATAATTAGAGTAATAATTAAAGTAATAATTATTTAATAATTATTTAGTTTAACTGATTAGCTAAAAACAGAAGATATTTTACTTTATTATAATTTTTAGGCGTAAGTATAAATGTTATCTATGAATATTAAACAGAAAATGAAAAAAAAAAAAAACTTAAGTTACTAAAATATTAAAAATTAATTCGAAACTGAGCTAAGAACTATTAAGTATTATAAAACAAAAGAATATATTTTGTTTTGTTTAAAGAACCCATCGAAATTAAATGTATTTTTAAACAAAGAATATGTCGTGATTTACATAGTTTATCATAGTATTGATACAGCTATGAAAACGATGTAAATATAAATTCTACAACTATTATACAAAATTAAAACTAATAACTATCATAATCTAATAATCTATGATATCGAATAAAAATATTAAAACAAATAATGACTATAGTATAAATGCTTGCTATACTAACAATCGTAACTTCTTGGCAATCGTAATGTAGGTACGTATATTACATATCTACAATGTTTCACCTATTATACATGTATATATTAAATTCATGATATATCAAAATTGAGCATGAACAAACCGTGACGACTGATAGCCATAAACCATTTCCACTAAAATGCCCTCATGGTCGACTATCTACCGACTACGATACATAATATTAGTATCTTATATTCGTATGTTCGTAACCAATACGCAAATCTATTACTTAGCGATTAATTACATATAATTTCACACAATATTTTAAAATGGTATCGCATTTATTATAATTTGATAATGTGTTACGACGCGTGACCATAGTTGGATACAACAACGGTCGAATAAGCGAACTTTATAAATTATACGCATTGGATCGATTAAAATAGAGTCGAAATTTGATTTTTGGAAGGGAGACATAATGTTGGCAACAAACCATAGCATAAATAAATTCATATAACATGCGATCTATATAATAATATATATTATATTTTTTTTACACATTTAAAAAAAAGATGTGATTATTATTATAAATGAAAACAAATCATTGCTCAAAAAAACCATAATATTATAATCTATTATATTTAATTAAAATATACACATGGATAATAATATATATAAGTTTATGTTATAACAATACACCAGTAATTGTTTATTATAGTTCATACCTTGTATGTATTTCAGTACTTAAAACTAGATATATGATAAAATGATAAATGTTGTACGATAGTATTGTGTAAGCATATTATTTAAAATTTAAACCGATACATACAAAGTAGGGTTGCGTTAATTTACACATAAGTATAAGAGCTAATGTATATTTGGTATGTATTATCAAATTAGTTTCATTTCACAACTACGGTATTTTTGATATTCATTAAAAAAATGAAGAGAGTTCCAATTTTGCTGGTATTAATTGCTAGCATATCATGCAAACTTCAGAATAAAGAAAATAAATTATTTACAGGTAAATTAATATTTCTTAAAATTATAGTATGTATAATATTATTACATATTTATATATTTAACAATATGATATAATATTATGCAAATAAATAATAAATTATAATATATTTTAATTATTATTCTAATATAGATTTGTACAATAATTCGGAAATTCAGTATGAAGAGTCACAAAGCTGCATGAATGGCGAATTTATTATAGATCTAAATCCTTCTAATATACCGTAAATAAAATAATAGTTTCATATAATCGGTATTTTATTTAAATATATATTTACACACCTATTAGGTCACTAATGGACTCGTCAAAATCTATTGGACTCTTACAACCTCAAGATATTGATCTAGCTGATAAATGTTTTCCCAAACCAGTATGTGATCCCATAGCTAAATATAGAACCATAAATGGGAGTTGTAATAATTTATTATTTCCAATTTGGGGACAAGCTAAATCAGCAAACATACGAATTATTCAAGCAGACTATTCGGATGGTATTAAATAAAAATATTTTTATTTCAATTTTACCTATAATATGAAAATAAATTACAATTTAAGGTAAGAGTCAACAAAGAAGAGCAAAATCAGGTAAACAATTACCAAACGCGAGAAAAATACGAACAACTTTGTTCCCAAGCAAGGATAACCCCTCACCTAAATATAATTTATTGTTTATGCAATTTGGTCAGACGGTTGCACACGATACTGAATTAATACTTTCTAAAACCTCAAGTAAGTTTGTAAAAGTATTAACATACATTAAAAGTTTTAAATGAAACTGATAATTTTTATATTTATATTGTACATTAAACTTGTAAGTATTTTTTTTTTTTAAAGAATTTTTGTTATTTTGTTTTTTTTTTTTTCAATTTGGTTAATATAAAATTGTGAGAATATATTTAGATATGTTTTAGTCAATATTATAATAAATATTATATTAATAGCATATGGCTTACACTTTTTTTTAGTTTGTTATTTTAAATTTATTTAAAAATTTAGTGTTAAATGTTTTTGCAAAAAATTATAATTTAATTCATATTTAATTTAATTAATGATGCTTTTAAAAAAAAAAATTAATTAATTTAAGATTACTGAAGCGTTAAAAACCAGCAAAAAGTTAAAATTGTTGATATAAATTACCGTTTTAGTGTAAATTGCGGGCCGAGTATATTTTATACATACATAAATTGCGGCCAGTGTATATTTTGTATATATGTAAACTTACTGTGATTGAGATATAAATTTGTATGAAATCAATTTATTTATTAAAATTAATATTTTTCATCTCATTTTTCAGACTTAGGACTGTCAATATGATAGTTTTAGTATTGATATGGTTAAAAATATTGGTTTTGCTGTTTTTTTGTTTATAATTTAAAAATGTATTATTAATAATTAATAATAAAGTATTAGGTAAAAGTGTATATCATTATAAATATATTATTAAAAAAAAAATTGTGATTAAAAAACTGGTAAAAATTAATAAGATAATTTCCGCGCATAGTCTAACCGAGTTTTTTATTTTTGCTTGCAATTCATACATTTTTTTCATGTACAATGTTTCTTTTTCACACGTATTTTGTTCCCTGACTTCTCATGCTGATATCTACATCGTAGATAATTAGTTATTACTAATCTTTATATTGTATAGCCGACCGGAAATCGGAATATCCCAGGCCGAAATTTACATATGTTTTAAAAGTACATGGGCCGCAATTTACTAGTATATGACTATAACTTTTTTGGGGGACGCAATTTACAGATCCCGGTTAACGGTACCTTTATTTTAATATTTTTAAACCTAAGCCAAATAACCGATATAAAAGATTATGCATTTTTCTACATTAACAATTTTTACTGTAACGATTTGTTATTTTTCTTTAATTATGCAAAAATTAATATAAAATTGGTCAAAATCAGTATTAACAAAAATATTTAATTTTGAAGAACCAGATCAGACATTTTTGTATTTATATAGATCATAATATTACTAAAAAATAAATATAATTATGTTTTTCTGGGAACCAAACTGAAACTAAAATTATGAAGATCCCTGATCTCTGATTTAATTGATAGTTTATTTAATAGATTATTAAGTTAAATAATTAATTAATATTATTACATATTTTATTAAAAAAGGTAATGGTAGTACACTAGAATGTTGCAATTCAGATGGTTCCACACCAAAAATACTACCACAAGATTGTCTACAAATTACGATCCCGTATGATGATCCTGATGCTTCAAAAAGACGATGTTTATCGACTCCACGAGCTGCTGATACTGCAGATATAGGTTGCCAAATAAAACCAGTCAGACAAGTAAATATAATTATGATCCCTTATCTCGTTTATATTTTTTTATTATAGCTTGAAAATAATAATAAATAAAAATAGATATATTAAACGTGTATAATAGTTTAATGCATTTAATTATTTTGTCAGCAAATTGAAGTTACCAGTTTCATTGACGCTTCATTATTATATGGTTCAGATGAAATCACAGCACGTTCATTGCGAACATTATCTTACGGAAAACTTAGAAGACAATTGGGACCTAAAGGAAAATCATATTTACCCAACGTTAAACAAGCAACAAAAGAATGCAACGTTGTTAATGATGGGACTGTATGCTACGCTTCTGGTAATTTATATTAAATTTATGTTTACTGTACAAAGGTACATTATTATATGAAAATGCTTTCATATTATCTTAATAAAAATTATAAAAATATAAATTATTCACTTGTAATTTAATTTCAACTTTAATCAATGTAATTTTAGATTCTGATTGAAACGGCGAATGTATTGATTTTACAATAATGTGTTATTTTTTCAGTCTATCATCATCTTTTGAGGTAGTAAATGCTTTAATTTTCAACTTTGGGGTTGGATTCTGGTAAAAAATTGAATTTAGTTAGTACTTTTAGGATCAAAAAATAAAAATTCTCAGTGTTTTTTTATTTAATCATGAAAAACAAAAAAAATTAAATACGTTTTTGACTAAATATATTTTTTTATTTTTTTAAGTTCAAAAAGGGAATAACCGTAGATACTTGAAACTTTCACAAAATGTTTATATTTTTATATTATAGTTTTCTATATAAGGAATAGTTTTTAAAATATTTTTACTCTTTTTGAACTATTTATATACATAAGGAAATTTTTTTTAATTTTAGTTTCTATAAATGTCAGCTACAAAAATATTTTTCTTGGTAAAAATTCTTGAAAATTTAATACAAAGTTCCATTTAAGTTTTTCTTATGTATGTACAAAAATATAAATAAAACATAGCTCAGTTTTAAAAAAAATATGTATATTTAAAGTTAAAATAATGACAATATTCGACAAAATCGCAAAAAATTGCAAACTATTTTGTAGCTAAAAACTCATATAAACTTTTTGTTTTATATCCAAGTTTTAGAAATTGAATACTATGTTTCTCATAAATAGTTCAATAAACTAAGTTCCTACTAAAACCATAATTCTAAACACATGTATTAAAACAATTATTTTTATAGACATTTTAAAAGTTTATATCTAGATAAATCACGAAATCACCTATTGAAACAATTAATAATAGGATGTTAATTTACTTGTTTATAATTTAAAAACATTATTCGTGGAAACGCTGGAAACTTAAACTTTTGAATTATTTTAAAATATTATCTATTCTTACTTTTAACCTATTTTCACTGTTTGGTAATTACAGAAAGATAATATTTAATTTCGAGTTATGTAAATTAATATAATATAGTATACGCATTAAATATTATGTACAAAATATTAATAAAATAAATAAATACTAATAATATAATAAATAGAATATTTTTAGAAAAAAATATAGGTAGGTATCAATCTATTGTAATACTTAATGCATAAATAGCTATATCAAAAAAAAAAAAAAAAAACATACTATGAAATATACTTAACAATATAGATTAACAGGCCGTTTCAACTCAGATTTAGTTTTCGTATAAAATTCTATAATTTAATTCAAATTTAATATCCAAAACAATAATCCCACTCGATACCTTATTGTACAGCAGAACGGTACTTTATTATCGTCTTTTTTTTTTTTTTTTGAGCAACAAATAAGAAAATATTAATTATTTTTTATATAGTTAATAATAAAAATTTCCGTTTATTATGTTTTGATTTTTTATTTTAACTAAAGTACTTAAATAAATATATTTTACTAAGAACTATTAATTTGCTCCTAACCTTTTTTTCACACAAAATATGCATGCATTTAGATAAATTTAGTATCGTGTAATTTTTAATCAGATAATTTAACAAAATACATCTTTAATAATTTAATATTTGAAATATATTTATCTTAGGTGATATAAGAGTAAATCAACATCCCGATATAGCAGTTCAAACAATATCACTATTGAGACTACATAACATACTGTGCGATGATCTCAAAAAAATAAATCCCTCATGGGACGACGAACGATTGTACCAAGAAGCCAGAAAATTACTCATAGGGATGTATCAGCACGTAGTATACAATGAATTTGTTCCTGGACTTCTAGGTATGCCTTAATAAATTAGGTACTTTTATAGTAAGTAATACAAAACAAAAATTAAAAATATATTTTGTATTTTATTGCTCATTAGTTATTACTTATTAGATAGGTATTTTTATAATATATTATTATTAATATTATAAGGTACGTTTAAATAAACTTATATTTCTTTTTATCTATAATAAAATATGTGCAATCGAGTGTGAGGCAATTTAATCATTTCCAGACTTAGCATCACATTGACACTCGTGACATTGATTATACTCGTAGTATAATATTATATACTTACACATAAATAACAATCAGAAATGTAAATATTTAATATTTACAAAATAGTTCATTAAAATTTTAAGATAGATTTGTTAGGTAAAAGTATTTTTAAAAGTATTTGAAACTTTTTTAAATATTTTAAAAACATTATAATTTCTTAAATGCTATTTAGTAGGTATTTAGTGCTATTTTATAGAATATTATAAACGGATCAATTTTTAATATTATTGTTTAAAAATATCATAGGAAAAGATTTTTCCAAAGCAAATAAATTACTACCATTAAAAAAAGGTTTTAACATGGATTATGATAAATTTTTAAATCCAACTACGATAACCAGTTTTACCGGTGCTGCATACAGATCACTTCATAGCGAAATACAGGGATATGTGGAGTATTAATAATATTAAGATTATATTTTTTTTTACTAATTTAAGTTTCCAGCACATATTATATAACTATTTTTTTTTTGTATATATAGCTTGATCAATGAAGCCAGAAAAGTTACGTCGAAAATTCGTTTGAGTGATTTTTTCTTAAGAACTGACATAGTGCAAAGAGGAGATAATTATGATAGTTTTACTAGAGGTTTACTTAGTCAAATTGCACAGGACCAAGATCAATATTTCACACCTGAGGTTTGATAATTATTTATTGGTTACATTGTTTTGCATTATTAAATAAATTAATTTCATGTTTTCACGTTTAAAAAAAATAGAATAAATATGGTACTGATTATAATAATTTATTACCTACCTAATTTAGGTTAGCGAATACCTATTTAGAGATCCGAACAAAACAGAAGGCTTCGATTTAGTCAGCATTGACATGGAACGTGGTAGAGATTTTGGAGAACCATCTTATAATAAATTTAGGCAATTGTGTGGATTGAGCGAAGCCAAAACTTTTGACGATTTTACAGATCAAATAACTAAAAAAGTAAATATCTGCGTTAAAGAATAATTGCACATTACACAACATATTTAACTATTACACTTGGAATTCACTAAATTATTATTAATAAAAACATTGTTTTTCAAGAATGTTGATATCTTAGCTAGCTTGTACGAGCATGTAGATGATGTAGACTTTTACGTAGCAGGTTTGCTAGAAAAATTGAAACCTGGATCTTCGTTGGGCCACACGTTTCAATGTATTTCTGGAGAAATGTTTTTCAGATGGAAATTTGGTGATCGTTTCTTTTATGAATTTGGAAACCAAACAGGATCTTTTCGTTCAGGTAACGATTGACACTTTTGTTAGATACCTATTAAATTTAAAGCTTAAATAAATTTTTTTACTCGCCATATATTACTAAATTGTTTGAAAAGATCAACTCGATGAAATAAGAAAAACAACATTATCACTAATAATATGTATGACATCAGACATTCAATCTATACAACGTAACGCTTTTGACGTTATCAGTAATCAGTGAGTATTCTATTTTATAGTATATTACTTTCAATATTACTCATAGTGTATTAGGTACATAATATACTATATAAATGGCGTCTAAGTATAGCATAAACAAAAATATTTTTTAACCATAAATCTATCCATGAGCCCCATAGAATATGTTTTTTTTGTTTTTTTTTGTTTTAGCGATATAAAATGTCTAATTTAGAGATTTTAAAATTAAATTTTATAGAAAAATTTATCAACATCAAATATCTTAGCATAACTTTTTTATTTCAAGTGCGATAATAATAACTAATAACTCTTAAGCTAGTTATTACGATTTTTATATTTTTTAATTGTTTACTTAATAACTTATTTATACAAAAATAGGAAATGAATTAATATGATCCTGTCTAGCTTATAAATAAACGAAATATCTTAATAAAACATTAAATCCTTTTATACATTTTTCATGAGTGAATACTTAAAAAAAGAACAAATAAAAAGTTTATAAAACAAGAGAAATCTAAAAAGTAATATTGACTTAAAACATACTCGTAAATAAAATTGTGGATAATGTTGTAATACCTAGGACAGTTAAATATATTTTAAATAATAAGGTACTTATTGTCGGAAAACAAATAGGAAAATATTTTATCTATCGAAAATATAGTATTTATATTTTTAGGTATATTAATAATATTAGAAAGCATAAAAGCATGGGTAGGTTAGGCACCTATAGTAACTATAATTTTTACCTTTATATAGACAATAAAATTGTATTTAGTTTAAATTATTAAAATACAAAATATATATAATATTCAATAATGTATAAAATGAAAAAAAATGTGAAATAATAGATTTATTAGAATTGTTGTTATTGATTTTTTTTTTTTCAGTAATCCTTTGGTACCTTGCAGTTCCATACCAAAACTTAATTTAGATCCTTGGAAAGAACTTTAATACATACCTACCTAATATTATAGTGCCTGTATACTGTTTTTTTTTTTTTTTTTTGTAATAAATTAATAATTGGCTACAAAGTATTAATATTGTTGAAATTCATAACCTAGTTAGTTGTATAATAAAATAATTAGATATCTACCTGGCGACTGTTTTTTGTTTGAATACCATTGTGTCTTTATATTCTTGGATACAATTCTATATTCCTATCGTTATTTCAAATTCATCCAAAACTCAGAAAACGAGTTAACAACATGTTTACTGTTTAGTTATATATCACAGAAATATCACTATTCTTATAGATGATAATGATAAATCATTGCAGCATTATTGTTTACTAAGATCACTGGGTAGATACTAACTTGATAATGTTGTTTAGGCGACTAAATAAAAACAATTAAAAATTATCAAGTTCCTGGATTAAAAATGTATCTTTATACTAATTGTATAATCATAGGCGTGCGCATGGGGGGGGGCAGCAGAGGCAGCATATATATGTTGCTCCTGGACTTTCTTTGGGGCTACTACGGCCAGTAAATTTTGGATAATCGGCCTTGGAAAAATTATATTTTTACAAATTATAATCATTGTAAATAAGAAAATTATAAAAAAAATTAATTTTATTTAGTTAAGTATAAATAAATATTTTATGATTTTATAATTTACTAGTATAAAAATAATAGACCTGTCTACTATAAAAAATATCCATGATTTTAAATCATAAATTAAAATTAAATCGTGTTATTTATTATCATTTATGGCCAAGAAATCTAAAAAAACTGGGTTTTAACGTTATCGTCTAGTACATCGTAGACCAATACACCATAACGATTGCGAAAAAGTACGCCTTTAGTGACTTAGTGCCTTACTGTACAACTTTTTAAAAATAACCAATACAATTTTAATTTTGATACCTAATGGTAAAAAAAAAAAGTAAAATTATGGACCAGTTTTAATTGTGAATTTGAAGAATGGGCCGAATTAATCTCTTGGTGATCCTGAAACAGGAGGCTGCACATGCCTATGCCTATAATTTAATATTAGGTAAAAGTTATATTTTAGTTATTTTACGTTATTATAAGACACTTTTATTTTTATGTTTTTAGTAATTACTAATATAATATTATACATAAACAATAGATACTCGTATACAAGGTAATTCTTTTATCATTGAACACTAACTTAATGGGTCGACTTTTTTCAAAATGTTTAGTTTTATGCTTTTCTAGAATTATATAAAATTTTTATTTTTGTCACACTTATATTTAATAGTGAAACCACTATGAACTTGTGATTTTCAAATGACAACCTATATTTTAAATGTTATATAATAATAGTACTGGTTTTTTATGAATTTTTACATTATAATTATTAGTTTCCATTAAACCGTTAATGAGTTATAGCTGCTCAAAGTTAGGTGTTTTTTGGTTTTTATTATACTTCTTGTTTCTGAAAATCTACAGTTACATAAAATAAATAAGTAATAGCAATAAAAGTATATTTTTTTACATGTAAAAACAAGAACAAATCCTCCATTAACCCCAGACTTAAAACAATAGTAACATTTAAAAATGGCAAATGGCACTAATAATATATGTATTTATTTATTACTTATTACTTATTAGTAATAGGAATAACTAATTAATATTTAGCAATTTTCTAAGTAATACAATATAATTTAAAAAATGTACTTTTTTAAATATTTAATATTAAAATTGAGCATATGTAAATGACTAGTTAGTGATTATTATATACATGCATGATAGGTTTTTTTTAATATTGATTTAATTTACACCATCTACGTATACATAATATAATTATTTTCTTATTATTATTAAATACATAAAATTTATGAATTAAGTTTTAATGATTGATGTTGTTGCCTCATATTAAATTTTAAATTGTGCAATATTCTTGATGAGATGCCAATTAGGTACTTATTTAATTCACATGCATAATACCAAATTGGATGATAATTAGGTTTGATTAAATAGTAAACTAAAAGAAATCATAAAAACCATAAATAGTCATAATTTTAATTTGTATAACAATATTATATTACAGAGTAATAATTGTTTCAATAAAATTGTAATTTGTAATATTATGAATGTTGGCGTATGACGTGTTTAGTGTTTACGTTAGTAATGAAAGTACCTAATAAAATAATTCAATTTTTAAATTTTCAATCACAGAAAACTAGAAAAGACGACTTGAATAATATTAAATGTCAAACGAGTAATCACGAGTAAAGAGTAAATGACTAATGACTAATGAGTTTTATACTTTATATTATTATTTAGTTTTATACTTTATATTATTTTGTGTTTAAAAGTTAGAAGTTAACAACATTATTCGATATGTTGGTATAGATCATAGACCTTATGTCCTTATATATATAGTTTAAGGTTTATGGCAGCGTTTCTTGATCTTTTTACTGCGACCCCCTTTTTGAATATCAATTTTTTAGCGATCCTTTACACATATTTTTTTTTGTATACTTGCATAGATTATTAGGTATTAATTACTGTAATAAATAGTACTGTACACGATACAGTATTTTTGGTATATTTATTGATTTTATTTTTTATTACTTTATTTTATTATTTGAGCTTTTAAATTTTTGTATTTTTGTATTTAAATTTTAAATTATACGTTAGCGACCCTAATTAGTAATTTATAAGTTGACGACCCCTAAGGGGGTCGTGATCCCCAAGTTGAAAAACACTGATCTATGGTATAGATACTAAAAATGTGTATTATCTATGTTTATCGGTAACTGTTGGGAGATTATCTATAGCACGGCCCTATTTCTAATCGATACTTTGAGTCCTTCGATATTTTCTGAATTTTTCCAGCAGTAACCTAGAGTATGATTCTGATTAACCTATGTTGTGTACAAGTAAATTACTGGCCTTGTTTCGTTATTTTGCCTCAATTGATTTAATTTTCTTAAAAAATTAACTCGAGAAGCAACAAAACTATAACTCTTCATCTAAAATCTACCGCCCATCATTACATTCCCTGTAGATAGGTACTTGAAGATTAAATTGTGTAAAATAGTTTTGACAAATGATTTTAAGTCAGGATATCTATTCAATTTTTTCTCTTTTAAATAATTCTATATTTATGCGCATGCTTAAAATAAAATTAATATATTTAAAGTAGAGCAAAAAACTATCTATTTTTAATCCTACTTGAAGATCTACTAATTTAATTTTTATGCTAGCCTAAAATTATATTAATAATACCATAATCTTAAGAATTAAACACTATAATTAGGTATAGCTTCTAGCATAGTTATTTTACGAACTATTTGTGATGCAGGTATTTTCACATACATCTATTGTTTTAATAATAAAAATATGAAATTTCGCATTGCTTTTCGATAGTACATGTATGTTTTCATTGTTTTTATGATTTCCCGATCAAGAGGCTGTACGAGTGACTTAGTATTTGCATAGATTAAATATACTTAAAGTATATTTAATCTATGGTATTTGGTAGAAAAATTTCAAAACGATAACAATGTTCACAAAAGTGATTGGATTATCCGGTACTTGATGTTTTTAATAAAAAGTTAATTTAACATACCTAATTAGCAAAAGATTTATTTTGGGATTATAGTTTGTAATATTGGTACAACTGTTTTTTTATCAGTCTATGACTTATTCTTTTATCACGATCGATGGCATATCAGTCCACGGCGGGTTTTTTGATTATGCAGTTTTTTTTAAATGTTCTAAGTCCTAATTGTTGATTTTTTTATCGTGATCGTGATTGTTGAACTGTTGGGCTTTTACAACAATTATAATATCATTATAATCAATCGATAATCTATCACTAGTATTACTTCGTTTCCATTTTGATATTATTTATTTAAGTTGTCATCGTCCGGTGAATGGTTCTATACCCGATCATGTCGTCAAACCGTCCGTCAACAATTGAAAGACTTTTGACAGCTTTAAACTGTATGTTGGTCGATGGTTTTGCAATACAGGACAAAACGTTGATAGAAAAACTTTTGATAAGTCTGCAAGACGCTGGTAAGTAGCTTGCTGTTTATAATTGCAATTGATGGTGTGAGTGACTAAGTATAAATTTCGAGTTGACAATGTTTTTTAGACGCTTTGTTGAAAACAGTACCGATCAACACTCACTGCAAATGGTTTGCCAGTGTTTTGAACATGTATCAGCATCAAACTTCACTGTCCAGAAATGCTTCAATACATCTTTACGCTTTTGCTCTCAAGTACTTGGCTATACTAGTGAAACATGAAGATGGCTTAGTCGCACTCATTGAGACTGGTACTCTTCAATCAATGATTAATCACCTAGACATTGGGTCTGATCTCAAAGAGTCTTCAATTTTTAACGCCTACATGTCGTTATTGCAAACATTGAATACTCATAAACGAGGTCTTGAATATGTTTTCCAAGAAGGTAATTTAAGTAAAGTGAAATTTTTCTTAATGAATATTTGTATAGTATAACAAACACTTCTTTTAATGAACAACATGTTAAAGTGCAAAAAGTAGGTAATCTGTTGTATTTTGAGTTCTCTTTAATGGACCCTTTCTATTATGGGTATAGTCATATAGACAGTTTTATTTTTCCCTAATATCTTTAATAATGGACAATGATCTTAGTCCAAACTCAAATATAATTTCATATATTGTATATTTCATATGTATGTAGTTTGTAAATATGAAGCAACGGCCATCAGTCGTGAAAATGTAGTGCACTATTACAACTTATTAAATACTCCTATACTTCCAATAACATTAATATCAATTGTGTATATTATTTATGATAATTGTGTAGGTATGATGTTTAATTAACAATATATTTATGCATTTACCTATAAAACATAATATGTATTAATATTTACTTTAGGATTTTTCATATAAATACAATTTTTCCATTAAATAGATATGAATGTGAGGTTGAATAAAATAATACTAAGCCTACTATATTAGACACTTTTTATAGTTTGATAAATGTTCATTATAAGAAAGTTTTGTTGTACTTTTATTATTTTGTTAATACTTAGTAATATTATAAACCTATCAATACGAGCCATAACTAATATTTGCTTTAATTAGTTTAATTAATTATAATGAAAAAATAACCCGAGAATAAAATTTAAACAAAATTCAACACGGGTACCTACTAAACATAATATGGTTTTGTTTGTATGATTATTAATATAGTTAACTATGTTTTAATATTTTTAGGTTTATGGAAAGTTATACTTTTTACTATTCATGGATTAATTGTACCAGCAAAATATGTTGAAATTCAATCTAGTCAATATATTTCTGATTTAATTTATAAATCATTTGACTATGAAATGGCACATTGTTGTGAACCTCTTCTTAAAGAGTTATTTTATAACTTACATTTAACTGATAATTTAATTGTCAATCATAAAAATATAAAAGCATTTTCTGCTTATAATGTTTATGTAAAAACGTTAATTTTATCTTTAGAAAAATTCATTGGAACTAAATATGAATCCAATGTTGTCCAAAATATAATTAATAAATATTCTTTATCACATGTATTAGTGAATATGCAAAGTTTGTTAGATGTAAATGATATCCTATTAAAAAATTATATGACATTACATTTGATATTTGATTGTTTTACTGTTTGGCATCATTCTGACATGGAATATATATTAAAATCGATTTTTTCTTTAATGAATTTGCCAAAAAATATACATTCATATAAACAAATTAACAATTTATATACACAAGCAATTAGATATGCAAATATCAAAAATGTACATTTAGCAGCTAACACAATATTTGAAAAGGAATTAATTATTGGTCAGGTAAATAAAAATCTTACTTTTAAGACTTTTAAATCTATTAATATATTGTTTATTTTTATTTTTTGTGTTAATAGTTAATACCATTAAATAAATGTACTGACTGGCTTCAATATTCTAAGTATGGTAATTTAAAATATGATAGAAGTTGTATTAATGAATCAAAATACATTTTAAATTATTGCAATAATTATGATTTTATGATAAATGAAGTGGCTATTTCTTCTATACTCAATATTGTGGACATTGTTCATATACTTAAACAGGTAATTATTGTTATGTTAATATTAATACTTGTTTTATAGTGTATTAATTTTTCGACTTGAGAAATAATTCCCAAGTAAAAAAAAAATTTAAGTTATTTCAATTTCAGTTTAAAAATTGTATAAAATATATTTATTTATATAATAATTTAATATACTGGGTTTCCACTGTATTTATTCTCAGTATAGCCTAGTATTCTATTTATATGAAATTAAAATAAAATAAATTTATATACAAAAATAAAAATATTATGAAACTATATTTTAATTATAGAATGTTATAGATTCTATTAAATGGTTAAACTACTATTGATTATAGAATTGACTATGATTTTATTCAATAATCAATTCTATTATTTATAATTTGTTGACAGTATTTTTATACAATAAGTCTTTAAAAAAAATAGTAATTTTACTTCTGAAATATTTTTGTATACTATGTAATTTATAGGTGTCATTGGATTACTTGCTCAATTTTTTTTCAACATTAACAGAACATTTTTTGAATTCTGATAATTGGTTAGAACAAAATCAAGACCGAGATTCAATTTATCAAAAATTTTTAGAAATATTATCATATATATTTTTATGTTGGGCTAAAGTAATAGAGTGTAAATTATTTACTGAAGTTGCTACACAAGAACCATTATTAGTGCCACTTGTGCAGAGTCATAGTCAATTTTTTCACAAATCTTCTCATAATTCTACTCTTTTACAGGTAAGGTAATTAATTAAAAATATTAATATATTATTATATGTATGAGTATTAAGTATATTACTGTAAATGTCTGCATTTGATAAATATTGACAAATTAAAAACAATTGGACATTTTAAATTTAGAATTTTAATATTTATATGATGATTTTGATGATTTTTAACAGTTTTGGTTAATATTAACATTAGTGTAGACTATAGATAGTATATAAAATACAACATATTAAATTTTATCAATAAATTATTATTAAAAGTAATATTATATGTATTAATTATTTAAATTAGGTTTATTTTATTTTACAAACTTTTTTTTATTCCTTGAACTGATATTAAATTTTCTTTGCACATTGTAAACTGATTTTTGGTGTATACAAAAAAAGTTTTAGTGATTATGCAAATCAATTTTATACATAATTTATACAACTTTGATAAATGACAATAGCATACTAAAAAATAACAGTATAGCATAACCTTTAGTGAGGTAAAATATTATACAATCTGTTGGATTAGATAATAAAATATTTAATTAAAATTATCTACTTGTGCAATATCTAATATTGTATAAGTAGTACACCTATTATATATTTTTTATTATAATTTCTCTATAATTCCAAGATGACATAAAATAAAACAAAATCAGAACTACCTAAATTCATCATTATTGCTATTTAAATGTCAACATTCATTAGTGAATGTTAACAAACAGCTTAGGTTTAATCAATATGTTAACTTTCATCAATAATTTTGGTGTAAACGATATTCACTGGTGACTAGGTGACTAGGGGGTGAAGTGGCCGAGCGGACTAAGGCGTCGGTTGCGTCGCATACCGTCGCCGGTTCGAATCTTGGTCACGGGCAGTGTCACTCTTCAGGCATTCACGGTATCTGGAGAGAGAAGCCGCCGCCCCCCCACCCGAGCATAGCAGAAACCTATGGGTGCCCACTAAAAATTCTGCTAAATAGGCAACCGAACTATAGGCCTTCGGGCCTACTCCTGGACATAAGCACCATATGAAAAAAAAAACTGGTGACTTAACATTCACCAATTACAGACATTTACAGTAACATGAAAATATAAATATATATATTAATTAAATTCTTATTTATAATATTTAAATGTACCTAAACACATTTACAGAACGGTTTAAAATTAATTAGTACTGCACTAAATAAAATAAGCAAAGAAAATATACAATGTATAGATCATTTGGCAGATTTTAGTACACTGTGTACTACACTCAATAATTTACTATTGGATACCAGACCAGAAATCCGAGATAGTTGTTTACAGTGTATTAGAAGTATAGTTAGTGCTTCTAAATACAGTTCTGGTAACTTAAATTAACAATATTATAATCATTATTTTTTATTAATATTTGATTTATAATTTTACTTTTATTTTAATTAGGGAATTTTTTTATCAAACTCATCTTAGAGAAAAATATGCCAATAGCTGTTATAAACACTCTTAAACATGACAATGATCCATTTGTAAGATCTAAAGCTCTTGAATGTTTAGAAGAAATGGTTTCTGTGTCAGATATTTGGGAAACATCTTTAAAAGATTCAGATTTAATAGTAAGTTCATATTACAAATTATAATTAATTATTAATTTGTAGATTAAGTGATGATTATTTTTTAATGTTATTTAGACGCATTGTTTAAACTTAATGCAATGTGAATCTGAAGGTATCATCAGACGACAAATAGTAAAACTCATCACTGCATTGTTCGTGTATAATAAGCTTGGGTATGTTATCTTATATTCATATTATAGAGACAATTTATTTAGTGTTTACTATATATTAAGGCATTAAATGAATGCAATTTCATTATTTCAAAGACTTTTCATAAAGCTTAGTATTGTGATAACTAGTATTCGTCATTAACTAATAAATTATAAGTATGAATTAATTGTCATCCCTAACCAACTGGTTAATTATATTATATTTAAATATGATAGATAGCTTAGGTTTAAAACAATATTATTAATAATTAGTGAAATTAAAAAAACAATCTCTGAGTTTATATAAATACACAAAATGAATGATTTGATTTATTATATAATATTGATAATTGATTGTTCATATTTTGTGTACAATTAAATTTGTATTTGTTCATATGATATTATTTTTATATTATTTATTTCCAGTGATAATCTATTTAATGAAATATGCACTGTAATGGTACACATTAGCACCAAAGATCCACTTTGGGAAGTAAAAACGTTTACTTATGAATTTTGGAATTCTATTATTCATACATTTATTGGTGAATCTTGTAAACAAAATAATACTGTAAGACTAAATGACAGTCTTGTTAAATTAAGTGCAACAGGCTGTTTACATGTAAGTAGATTTATTAAACTTTTTTTTTTTTTAATTTCAGTTAAGTCAATAAGTTATTGATACTTAATATTTTTTATATTATTAATATAAACTATATACTTTAGGTTCTTTATCTTGCATTAAAAGAAGAACACGATTTGGTAGTACAAAAAAAAGCCATTTACCTAACAAAAAGATTGCTTACTTCTATAAAATCTAATAACAATATCTGTGATTTAAATTTTAAAACAAAAAGTGAACCAGGAAATTGCCTGCATAATATTATTGATGGAAGTATTGATAATAGTTTTAGTTCCAAGCAAAAAAAACCCAGACAAATTGATTCATCTGATAGAATTTTAAATTCTATTACTACAACTAGTGACTGTGAATTATTGCCAAATCTCAAGTCATTTAATTATAGTAATATTTATCCAAACGATATTTGTCTTCGTCAAAAAACTGATGACTATCTAAAGATTGATGATTTTTTAAATTTTACTTACACTTATGATTTTAATGAATGTGATGCTAAAACACAATGGATTATATCTACTAGGTCAGGTTTAGATTCAATGTTGAATGACATAATCGATCAATCACAAAATAGCTTCATTGAAGGAGCTGATCTTTTAGATTGTCATTAATTATATTTTGAATCATATTACTTTAAATCTATGTAGTATAATATTGTATATTGTGGTTTAAAATGTCATAATTATTATAAGTATATTTTTAATTTTTATCTCTTGTTTTTTCCTTTAAATTTATGAATATTTATCACTATTTTTATTTATAGTTTTTAACTATACACTTTTATATTATTTTTATTATGTCATATAAAATGTAAAAAATCAATTATAAAATCTACATATTTCCTAGTTACACTTATTAAAATTTTAAAAATAATAGTTAAATATTGAAACAGTTACCAATTTAGTTAAAACCCGCTATAAAAAATCCACTCCATATTTCTCTAACACCCAAACCCTTTAATAGTAGACTAGCACACTATCTTAATTCCTGGCAACCATTCTCATTGTCTCAAATGATATTGGTTGGTGTCGTTATCTTTTAGAATAAATCACTGTCTGTTCACCTACTGAAACTCGCCAAAAGAGTCCTATCACTGGATAGCTTCCCTGTTTAATATATCAAAGTCAAGTTTGTATAATTTTTTATCACATGTGCTTATTGTATTTATTTTTACTACAGATTGTAAATGTATTTATTTTCAATAAAAAAGAAAAGGTTAAAATATTTTTATTTATGATTAATGTGTAATAATAATACTTAATAATAAATATTTACAATAATTATGAAATATAAGCTTTGTGTATAAAACAAAAAATTATGAAATATTTTTCAATACAGTAAGAGTTATTACATTGGATTATTGCTAATCAATACATTATTCATGAATGAAATATGAAAAAATCCATTAATAATATAAACTAGGTATTTATGATATAGCACTTTAATTTTAAGTTCATATGTACCTAGTACTTTAGTTGGAATTATAGATTTTACTTTTCTATTTAAATCTTTTTTGATTATTATTTATAAATTTTAAGGATAATCTATATTATATACTTATTGATCAAGTACCTAAGTACTACTAGATTTTTATGATATTATCATAGAGAAAATATCACATGTATAGATAGGAACCTATCATATTAAATAATGGTATACTATATTGACTTAACAAGGTTTAATAATTACTTTACTTATCAAGTTTATAATAATTTTATTTTTATTGACCTGTACTTCAATAATTAGGTACTATCATTGTTTTTGAATTGTGTTTTATTTATAATGAATAATGATAAAACATGAATATATCTATTTATAAATCTTTATTTCTTCTAATTATTATTTTATTTTTTTTTAAGTACCCAAACACATTAATTGAGTACCTACATTATACAAATTTGAATAAGTTGTATAGAAATCTATTTAATAGGTAATATTATGAATAATATAACCATGAAAGTTTTCCTAGTTTCTGGATAGGTTAGGTTACATAGTTTAAATCTTCTGATTTCAGATTTCAACATATAAGAGTTAGGTACTCCTAGCTCCTTTATTATATACAAAAATATTTCATTCATTCTGTTACCTATGTGCTGACAGCTGACACATAAAGTTAAATAGGTACAATATATTAATAATTGTTTAATGCTAATTTATGACATTGAATTTAAATCAACACATTAGGTAGATAATTAATTCAATAACAATCGCTAAAATTGTTTGGAGCCAATGTCTCTAAAAAATATGTCAGTGACTTCTGAGTCTAAGAGTAGGTACGTACCTACGTATGCTTAGTTTAAATGTTCAATTGCAAAACCAGTTTAATGGTTAAACTTTTGACACAGTTACAATTGTATCAAAAATATCAATCCTTCTAAGGTATTATCTCGGTGGTCACAATTAAGTGTCATAATGACGGTTATTGGTAGTTGATACTATTTACAACAAATTATTCTAAATAGTTTCATTCGATATCGTATAATTAGATAATCAAATTAGGTAAGTATCTATTGTAGATGTACAGGTAACTATAATTAAAATGAGTATATCATACATTCATGTTTGATAGCGATAATAAACTTTAATATAGATAATATTAGAAAATCAATAGTTGGTAGGTAGGTACATAATATAATAATAGCTATATCCTATAGGTACATAGAACGATGCATAGTTGAATAATATATTGTTGAATATGATTATAAATAGCTTATGTAGCAATGTATTGTGTAAACTATTATATTTGTATTCAATAGAATGTGTTAGATATATTAATGTCCTTACTTCTGAAGTATTTTTGGATAAAATAAAGTCTAAGAATAAGTACCTAAACATTCTACGTTTTTAATCCATAAAAAAAAATAGATGTCCGCATATATTATATCTGTATTTTAATTAGAGAATTTTTATGAGCTACCCAGGAATTTAAACAAAAAAAAATTAAAATTAAACTAATTTTCAAATAGTTAAAAAATGGTTTCTGTTTTTTACTGTCGAATTTTTACTTATGAATTATAAATATAAAATTTATAATATATGATAAAGTACTTTATATTTAATAATAATTTCTTTCATAATATTAAATATCTATATTTTTACATCTTTAATATTATTACGCTTTCATCTAAGCTAAGGGAAATAGAAATATTTTAATAACTTAAATGAAAGTGGATTAATTTCAACTTTTTCTATATATAAGAATATTTATCCCTTTACTATTAAATAACTAACTAGTATTTGTTTTTTTTTTTTTTTTTGAAGTAACAAATTATTGACCTGTATAAGAATAATGTTTGATTTTATCTTAAATCAAAATTAATTTGAATTTCAAATATTAGCTATATAGTAACTATATATATATATATATATATATTAGTTACATATATAGTTAAGGTCTAAATAGAAAAAAACGAACACATCCAGTCATTTATTCAACCCAAAAATAAATATTTACGTATAATTTAGTTGATTTATCATTAGCTTTTTTAATATATTTTTGTATTAGTTCTATGTACCTACATGATATTATACTAACAATGATCACTATTTCAATAATAGTATTATGATTGTAAACAAAAATATAATTCAAACAATTTACAAATAAATACTTAAATAAATAATTTTATACTTGATACTATAGTCTATTCGGAATGAGATTGTACCTCGGCGGCCGATTTCTGCGCATGAGTGTGGCTTTGTTCCACAGCGCTAGCCTTACGAGCTTTCGTGGTGGGAAAATTTCGTGATGGCATCTGACCGTCGCGAACTAAAACTGGTCGCCACAGAGGTACGATCTCACTCCGAATAGACTATATAATATTATATAATTTTTATCATGATTTCTAAGTTATATCACATTAACACATTTATAAAATTTAGATTGTCTATACATGACAAGTTAAAATGCAGATTTTTAAAACTAGCTAGTAAACTATTGATTGTCATTTTTATGTTCAATAGTACCTACTGTTTTTTTTTTTTTTAAGTAGCTAAAAATGAATAAATACATAGATACTTAAATATATGCATGTACCTGAAAATCTGATTACATAAATAAATTTTAATTGGTATCTATATTAAATAATTATGATAGAAAAATGCATTGAGCAAAAAGTATTAAATTATTTAATGAAGATATGTGTAAAAACTAAGTGATAGTCTGCAAGTTATTATAATTTTATACATAATAATGACAACAGGACAAAGAAAACTAAATGAAAGAAAAGAATTTGATAAATCGTTATAGTTATTTTATATGGGATATGCAAATGTACTTAATCGTTTATAAGATATAATAATATACCTACACAATTATATAATATCAAGTATCCAAATATTGTAATTATGAACTGATTATATTATTAATTATTATAGGTACTTAAGACATAAGAATTATTGAAATTAGCATACATTTTTACACGTAATCGTACTTACTATACAGTGTGATCAAAGTTATTTGACGGAGAGGTTGATACATTAGGAACTCGATAAATATAAACTTTGATAACGAGTAACTAAAGTATGCTTGGACAATATTCAGTATGAGGATAAAAAAATGTTTTTCTTTTGTAGTGTTTTTAAAACGGTAACTAGCTTGATAATTTTTTTCAGATATAAACCGGATAGTTCTATGATTACATTGAATTGAATCAAAGCTTTGCTAAAAAGTATTTAAACTGATACATATATATTTATAGAAATAATTTAAGTTTTTAATTCTCCCAGAAAGCACATGCACAATAAAATTTGATTTTTATAAATAAAACCTTCTATTTTTGAAATTATATTTTGGCAGCTCTATTTTTTTTTTAAACAACTAGGTATATAATATTGCTCTGAATTAAAAATTGAAGGTTAGATTAGATCTAACTAAAAATAAAAAGGCTAGGTTAAATAAACATGTTAAAATCTTGTTAAAAATACAATTGAAGATTATTCAAAAATTTCATTCTTTAATTAAATTAATACTTCTTATAAGAAAATTGCGTTTTCGTACTAAAATGTTTAAAAATTTGAAATTGCTTCTAAATGTGTACCATGACCATCCAGTTGAAATATTTAAGGTAATACCTCTTAGCTTGAACACACTGTATAATATATACAATATAATTGAACAAACCTATAGGTAATGCGGTTCGTTGAAGAGACCGAAAAAAATAACAACAAACAAATCACACTTAACGAACAAGAATAAATTATGTATATAATATTGAAACTTAAAAATTACGACATTAATATAGTAGTTATAATAATTGTTGACGATTTCTAGCTGTATTGCTTATAATATTATGTTGTTGATAGATGTAAAATATTTGCTCATATAGTTTCGTATTTGATGAAATAGGTGTACATAATATATATACTTTAACGGGACGTCGGACCGTTTGGTAAAATGTAAGCAATAGTTAATAATATTATTGTGTAGTTATAACAGTCAGCCAAGTACGACTTTTCACTTGTTGCCACTAAATAGTTGATACTGAAATAACAATAAAAATAGTAAATTAATTATTTTAAGCCCATTTTAACGAGTTTATACCTTAATATAGTATTATGATTAATAACAAATAAATAGTAATAATAATACGAATTGTTTATTTTCTGAATAAATCATGGGTTTATTAAAAAAATGAACTGAAATTTTCAAATATTAATACCGTATTGAATAATATATAATTTTCAGTTTGAAAACAAAATTATTAAAGAAATCAAAATTTTACTATATTGTTTATAATTAATAATAACAAATAAAATATGATTATATAGTGTGGATAAATATAATATAAATAATATTTATTCGTATGTTTCGTGATATTTTTTTTAAACAAAACATTTTTCAAGTATTTTTGTATTTATTTTTAAAATTTGTATTCGATATTAAATTGTAATTTTCGAGTTATCAATTTAGGTTTGCAAGTTCGGTTTAGTTTGAATGCGTTAAATTGAAAAAAAAAATCATTTTCATGATTAACACTTTAATAACTAAGTGGGTAATATATAATTTTATGTGGTACAAAACAACAAATATATGAACCATTTTAGTATTTTTAAGAGCATTACTGGTTGTGTAACGTATTTTTTAACCAATTTTTTTATTATATATGTAACAGAAATAATTATTATAACACCTATACCTACGTGTTTTGACTAAACAGGTAAATCAGCTAAACGTTGCTTTTTATTATCTACTTGGGTACAACTTACATACCTAATCATATAATTTATAAATAATCAGATTCCTTGATAACTATTATTTTAGAAGTGGATTTACTCATATCTAGTATATCTTGATTATAAGTGTTCAATATTAAAATAGTTCAACATTTTGGAAGAATTTTAAATGGAGTATTATTTGGTATTAACATGTCATATTATTATATAAGTATGCAGTAGCACCGAACTTATACATGAACTGAAGCGAACGCTTCATATATTTTATGTTAAAATAATTTAATATTAACATAAAATCCTCAGTGGTGGATGGATTAGTAATATTTTTGATTTTGTTTAACTTAAATTTATATAATTCGGCGCCACTGTAGGTATGGTTTTATATAATATTAAGAATCAATAGATTATTTATTTTTTCACATCGAAGCGTACTCGCACTAACATGTAATATTTTTGACATAAGCGCCTGCATAATAATACAATAACTTTTAAATTTTTAGCGACAAACTGGCGAGTAGAAATATATTGTCTTGTCATAAATCCACGAATCGCTGTAATGTTTTGTATGTAGACCGAATTAAATACCTAGGTACTAAATATTAATTATACATTTAGTTTATTTATGCATAAGTACAAGTATACTGTATAAATTTTTTAGTAAATAATATAATAATAATAGGTATTCAACGAAAAGGGTCGCTTCCTATTTAGAAACAAGTCACACAAGTTTTCCATTAAATCGAGTAGGCGTGTAACATAAAATAAATAGGTATCATGGTATATAATTATATTTAGATTGGATATGGGTAGATAGGTACTGCGTGAATTTTAGAGACATTTTGAATTTAAATTAAGTCATATTTTACTATAAAATCATGATGTATACAGAAATCACAGTAGGTAAATGGTTAATTAGGTATATAATATTATATATTTTTCAGCCACCAAAATTTTAAAATAGGTATTCAAATAATGTTCTTATTAAAATATATTAGGTATTTATAATAAACCTATCTAGTTATATACTTAGTTAATTGTAAATATCTGCAGCAGATAGTGTAATATAACGTTAATAAATAAATATTATCTATAATAAGTATCTACATAGTACATACAATTAATATATAGATTATATAAAGCCAAATAGGTATACAATAATAGTAAGAAGATCGTTCGGTTTCCAAAGGACTTATTAAGCTCGTGATAGATATAATTTTATGTTATACTTCATAATTAATATGATATAACATCGCACTGTAGGCTATCTGAACGTATTTAATATTATGTTCAAATTATTAACATTATTTTTATTTCGACAACTTATACAAAAGGAATTATGATAATATTATTTTAATTAAATCATAAGCAACACTATAATACTCATGTAGGCATATAATAATATGCTTACCGGATTTTGCAAAGTGGATAACTGTTTCACTACACCGGAACCAAGTTGCTGCAGAATGCCAGTACTAGAATTTTGTGAACACGTACTTTGCCTCCTGGACCGGATGCTGTTCATACTGGAACTGAGCAAGTATGGCACGCTACTGCTCGTATTTGGCATGCTACCACCCTTAAAAATCGTAAAACATCACATGTTTAAGTACTTATTTGATTTTCTGACACACAAACACTACAGATATATTTAGTACGTTGTACTGAACGTTATTTGGTTTTTCGTTAAAGAAATAATATTAGTATAAAATATTTTAAAAAGCTCTGCAATTGCATTAGTGAAATTTACTTTTTTTATACAAATTTATAATAGATTTATAAGATAGCAAGTAACACCTACTATAGTAATACATTTTTTAAATTTATTTTGGAAAGACTGTTGAATATTTAAATCAATCTCAAAATGTGTAATATTTCATTGATTTAATTGTATAAGAAATTAATAACAAAAAAGTTTATGAAATAATAATATAATATGTATTTAAATAATAATGAAAATATTAAAATATTGTACGCACAACCCAATATAATTATTTAAATTCTAAATATAACTTAAATATATATTTTTTTTAATGATATTTAAACGTTAATAGTTCCAAAAAAAATGTTTACCTGCTTAGTTTGAAAATTGTGATTTATACCTAATATATACCATACAATATAACCTACATTGGCACCGAAAAGATTTATTGGGAGCATAGTGATTTACCTTTTGAACGCGTAGGCGTAAGTGATTTGTTTCTAGTAAAAGGTAGTTTATTTTGAACTGTCTAAAATCTGTGATTGCGAGCTTATTGTTTATATTTATTTATTTAATTTATAAATAACACAACACAAACTAAATAATTTTTACTTATATCAACATATAAATAAGTTAAACATACAACATATTATAAAATACTTGACATTTCATTATTATTTCTACCTACTAAGCACACAATAGGCATCTATTTTATAACTCTATTTTCAATAGTTTTATAATTTTAAGTATTCAAAAAATCAATGGTCGATTCGGGGATTGTAAATTTTTCTCAAAGGCTTGATCAATTTTAACTGGAACATTCTAGAATAATATTCAATCAATGTAAATTTCACTTAAAATGAATAGGTGAAAAAAATTAATACTATTAATAGTTATGCCTTACACGATTATTGATTAGTAAATATTTATTAAAATAATATTCAAAATATAAAATATATAAATATATAATAATAAATATAAAGTGTTTTTTATCCCTTTAACTGTATCTCCCATTATAATCAACAATTTAAATTAAATTAATTTTTGTATTTCAATATAAACATTTTTCATAGTTTATTTTTTTTTAATTTTTAATTTAAATATTCACTGAATAAATTTAAATTAATCCTCGAGAAATTTTAGACCATCATGGTTATGTTGAAAAGAATTGGTAACCCCAAATGCCATTCTCCCTCAAATTGATATTTTTGGCTAAATATATATGAGTGTGTTCATGAATGCATGAATGCAAAATTAAAAATAAATATATATTTAATGAAATAATCTAATTATTAAAAACACGATTAAAAATTGATAAATATATTGATCGTATAGTGTATTATGCGTGCCTATATAAATAAATGTCTTTAAGTAACCAATGTTCAATATAGTAGATTACTGTTAATAGACAGCGCATTTCATTAATTTTTCTTAGTTATTAGAAAAAATTTTAAATATCATATAAAATATTACAACCTAACTCTATATTTAACGCGTTTGCAACACATTTTTGTACAACTAGTAAATAAATACTTTGGCTGATTTTAAAACAATGTAGGATTTTTTTTTAATTTTAAGTGTAGAACGTTGTATTATATTTTTCATAAATATTTTTATTGCTTATTTAGTTTTAGCGAAATTTATAAATTATGTATTTAATGTTAAATATATAAATAAATAATGCAATAAATAAACATATGTTTTTCTAAATAAATAGTATTTACCTACTAGCAATAACTGTTAAAAAATAAAATCATGCTCACATAAAATTAATTTTTTTATAAATTATTTTTAAGAATTAAGTAATTAATACCTATACCTATATTAATTATTTGACTAAGATGTAAGCTGAATTATGATAATTGTCAATACGTAATACTTGTAGTATAAAATTATTAATCATTTTTAGATGAATCATATTGAAACCTAAAAGTTCTGTGAGTTCATAAATTATAAATGAAATATTATTTTAGTTTATTTCGTAGAATTTTTCTATAAGTAATGCATACTAAATGCAGATTATATAACTCTTAATTCAATCTAAATATCCTAAATATCATTAAAATAATAAATTAAATTTTAATTCATACATCGGCGAGAGTGATTCTATAATAATACTAATGTTAGTTATTCATAGGATTATTGATCATACATAGATAAATAAAAATCTAAAGTACAATATATTATATATATATTTATATATATATATATAAATAAACGTAGAAACACTTATAATTGTCAATTTAAATTGAATCCCATTTGGTGTGAAAAATGAGCTTTGATCTGCGAAAACTATTATTGAAGGTAACTTAACGTTTGTGCCCGTAAATAACTCGGAAGCTTGCTGGGCTAAACACTGTGTTTTGTTATCGAATTTTTCGAGGTCTATTACACAGTACCATGGTGGTTTATGGACTACGTTTATTAGGTGTTTGTAATTTCATTACATTCTAGATTTTCCAATTCCCAGGGATATAAAATTAATGTTTAAACTTTATCACAAAACCGTTTTGATTTAAACGTTGTATACAAATTGACTCACATAAAATCACATAAACGTAGTATTTTACATATTATTTTAAGCTTATTTACTATACATATTTAAGATTTGATAAAAATAAATGTTACAGTTATAATTAATTGATAATAATAAAACTTAAAACTATTTATAATTCAACTAAATTTCAAATTTTTTTTTAATAATCTAAGCATCCCAACATATTCTGTTAACGTTTTTTTTTTCATAATTTAACGGCGTAATTAAGTAAGTACCTACATTTTACAGAATTATAATATTATAGTTTATGTTATTTGTAATTACTCTGCTTTACAGTATAATGCACAATCTTAGAATTATAAAACTTAAATGGTGACGAAATTTATCTAATATTTTACGTCGCATTAACCAACATGAGAATATGCTGAATTTGAATTGTTATCATCTTTTAATTAATAGTATGATATGATGACAATTTATTTCATACATTTAAAAATACTATGTTACTTCAAATTGATTGTCGTAATTGGGATAAACAAATACCAACTTATAATTGAAAAAACAATCTACTATTTATTTGTATTTAAAATTAAATTATAAAACATACCTTAAAATGTTTCACTTAATGTCATAATATAATTTTGTTTTTATTTAAGTAAAATAAAGTTTATAATTTATACTTACAAAAAAAAAAAAAAAAAATACATACACATGATAACATTTAACTTGATATTACAACGTGAAAGAAGAGAGCATTAATTGATACTATTTCAAAATTATGAACTTGAAAATAATGTTAGATATAAATAAATGTTTACATTTTATTTAGAAATTCACTGTTGAGTAATAATAATGGAGTTTATTAGGAGAAAGGTAGAGAGTTAGATTTTTTTTTTTTTTGTAGAACAGTGCATTGATGATGATTAGAAGAGTTGAGGTTGGGTGATCTATTTATTAAAATAAAACTATGCTCTTATGCTTTCAATAATTAAAAACATACAGTATTACTACTTCTACTTATAAACTATGTACTGAATTGTAATCAATACTTTACTTTCAAAACTAAATGAAGTCTTCCATTTTTAATTCAAAAAACAATTAATATAGGTATAAAGTTTAAGTAATTGATGCTTCTAAATTTATTTATTGTATATTAAAAATGATAAAAAATGTAAAAATGTGTGGCAAGTTAAAAACAACTTAAGTTAAAAAAAAATCAAAAATTAGTAATCACATATTATATTACATAGAAGTAATATAAGTTAGACATTATCAGTCATATACATTTCATTATTTAGATGTTTGAATTTATTTGATATTTAAGTAAACATATATTTACACTTATCTAAGTAAATGTTGTAATAATATTATATTTAATTTAAGTATATTTAATAATCGTGCGTGGAACCATGTTTACTTAAAAGTGATAAAGTTGTTGTTAATTTGCTACTTGTAGCTCGTATTTCCCCAGAGTTATTTAGGTATTTTTTTTCCAATTTGTAAGAAAAAAAATATCAGGAAATTCGGCGAATTACCTTTTTTAAAAATATCAAAATATATATTCTGTTTACTAGTCATGCAAGTTTTACGCAAACTTTTTGACCATTTTAAAACTAAATTTAAAGAGCTTTAAGAGAAAAAACTTACGATAAAAACAAATAATACCTGTTTTACTTAAAATCTTAAAATCGAGTCAGTACGACGCTAAAAATATTTCATTACGACTAATTTACAGTCAGTCATTTACCCATTTATTATTTTGAGAAAGTATTTCATAAATGTATTTTAAAGCAGATTACTTTTTTCAGTGATGCGTTTAATTATTTTAATGAAAATCAACTTAATAATACTCACAATCATGCTCCGTGCAAGCTGTACTCCGCGTAAGTTGCAATCAAACAGTAAAACAAAATATAAAAAAAATAACTCAAAATTGTAATAATAATTTAAAAGCATTATTAATATTGTTATGATTAAATAATTTATCGTAGTAATAAATGTTGTTGTAAAATATAATATTAAATAATAATATTTTACATTACTGTAAAGTGTAACACGGCGTTACATACTGGCAATATTAATACATCGGTGTTTTTAATATTTTATTAAAAGAAAGATTACTTATTATAAATAATTGTCTTCTGACTTTTTAAGTTTTGTATTTTTTTTTCTTCAGCAATTCAAAATAATATAAATAGTTTGTCGAAATGTTATGAAAGAATGTTATACTTGTTGCATGTATTGATATAATAATGGTAATTACGTTATAATAAAATAGTTTGTGCCATAGTGAATATTTATTGCGTTGCTAAAAAAAAAAAAATGATGTTTGCGTGTTTAAAATTATTATTGAAATATTTTATAATTTGTATTGTTTAAATGTAAATGCTTAATAATGTTTAACTGAATTATTTCAACCTACAGATGTTTATATAGGAAATATTGAGTAAATAACATATAGTATGATATTGTAAAACAATCTGAAATATTTAAATTATACAGAAAATGTATTAACGTGTATAACTTTTTGTATTAGGTAATATTCATTAAACCGAAAACTTCAGAATTAATAAATTTTCTAAAAATTAGATAAATATTACTTATGTACAAAATACGATAACAAAGAGTAATATTGTTATATATTTTTTATTAGAAGTTCCAGTTTTGAAGTATAATAATTTAATTTATGTTAATTTCTTATAAGACTTGAAATAGTTAAAACATAGAGAAAAAGGTTTGATATCCTCATTTTTTACGTCTAAAATAAATTTCTGCGATGAATAAATAATAATATATTGTTTATAATATTGTAAACATATATATTTATCATACATTTCCTAATTATCTTAGTTTAGTTTAATTTTCAATCGTATAAGTAACATATTGGATTTATAAAACATAAATATTAACCTACCTAATATTCTTATTTTAAAACATATTGATTTTATAAAAAATTAAAATATGAAATTTAATATAATAAAATATAATAGATAGAATTAAAATTTAATTTGTAGTTAAATCTAAGATAATTGAAGAAAAATCAAATAACTATAGAGTTCATAAGAGTAGTATCTATAAATTATAGTTAATATTGTTAATAAATATAAAATATTTTAAATAATACACAATAATTTATTTATTTGTAATATATTTTATTATTGCAATTTGAACGTTATAAACCGCTTTAAAAACCTGTAACGCTGCAAGCTATTGTGTATAATATTAGTAATTAAATTGCTTACATTTGTTAATCAAGTTCTGTTACCAGAATGAGAATAATAATATGTTTGTATGTATTATGAATAGTTATTTTCATATTATATTTTAATAACAATTTGTTTTTGGTATTTCTGGATGACAGACTTAAAGAACATTTTATAAATATCAGTCATAAAATTAATTAGTTTAATTAAGGAATGTAAACGTTCCAGAGAATTTATTTGTAGCATTATTAATAATTGTTACACTAACTGAATAAAATAAATTGTGTTTTATACATACAAAGTTATTTAAATATAAAACACATAAGTACATGATTATTTTATTTTGGTAATTTATATCAAATTGGATTTGAAGGAAGATATTAGTAATAAATGTGTGGACTTCAATTTTTTTAAGGTCCCTATTAAATTACCTTTATTTTTTTTTTACCGAATGATTTAAAAAATGATTAAATTTTTTTTAATGTTACAAAAACTAATAGAAAAAAACTACTTATTTTATTTTTTTGCAATAATTAGTGGGAATATTTGATTTTTTTAAATTTTGTATCGTATACCATGAAGATATTTTGAAGAGATAATAAAGAAAAATGTATTAGATATAGTGGCTCATAATTTTTTTTTAGTCTGGGACTTTAAAATTCTAAATATGGCACTATTTACTTTTGAGATACACAATGGAATACTATTATAAATTGGTTTTTGATTTTAAATTTGTATTTTGTATATATTATAATATATCATGAATTATAAACCTGTGGACATAGTATTATAGATTTGAATAACAATGTACTGGTATGTATTAAGTATTAGCCAATTGGTTAACATTTTAAATTATATAAAACCAAACAATTAAATAAGTTAAATATGTATAATGATAAGCGCAAAAAGCTTCTTACCAATAATATAAAATCCGATACAAAGCAATAATATTTAAAGGAACTTATCATTTTTTTTTAAATGAAAAGTTCAAAAATACAATAGGAAAACATTTATTTGAAACATATGGTTCTTTAATGTTTCACAGATTTGTTATATTATTTTACTGAACATTTTTTTTATAAAATGTTATTCTTCTTCCAACGATCATTTAACTCCAATGAAAAGTTATTATATATTACTTGGTACGTACAACTGGCCAAAAAGCAGTACATCGAATTAAAAATAGAAAAAAACCAATGAAATTAAGTTGTACGTACTTATTACCGGTAAGTTCTAACTAACGTCAAAAGCGAAAAAAAATAATATTAAAACAAAAGAAAAATAAACGACCCAATGTGGATTTTTTAAAGTGAATAGTGTGCCATAACAAAATAGTGTTTAGTTAAATTATTCAGCATTCTGTCCTTCATTTAATTGAGGTAAATGACGGATGATAACTTGTATTTATTATTTGCTTTGTTCAATAGTTTTATATATTATAATGATTAAATATAATATAAATAGTTAAAAATTATTTTTAAAATAACCTACTCAAAAAATTACATTAGAAGAAAAATTATTTAAGTCTTGGGTATTTTTCTAAATTTACATTTTATTTTTTCAACAAATTAGATGCTGATAGATACTTTTTTAATTACGTGTAGTTGATAATTTATTATTATTTCTTCAAAGTAAAAAAAAAAAAAAAAAAAAATTAAACGAGGGTATAATAAGTAGAGCGTGAATTTCATGCAAATTATATTTTTTTCTAAATTCCTTAAACGTTGATTTCCAAGCACAAAATCAAACTTTTATTTTTATTTTTTTTAGCATATTGAGGGCATTTTTCATATATTATATTTTTAAATATAAGTAAAGTTTAATAAGAATTAATCTGAAATCACCCCTTTTTTTAAAAGTAACAAAAAAGTATTAGAAAAAAAATTGTATATTATATATTTTATTTTATCGTATTATTTTTATTACGTATTATGTTTTTATTTTAGTATCAGAAAAAAAGCGGTGGTGGCTGCACAAACGAAATTGTATTGTCACATGCAGGTATATAATAATATATTACATAATATTAGGTAATATATAGATTGGTCGTTTTATTTTCGACTTGCAGCTTCAAAATCAAAACATTTATAATTATATAATTTAAATAGTACTGATAAATTATATAGATTTGTAGCCTTCGTTACAAATTATAATTTTATTTTTGAATAAAACGGTTTTTTAAATTTTGAAATATTATTAGTGTTTACAATATATTATTATATAGCATGATTTTTTTTTTCATAGAATTTAAATCCACGCCCTAGTAATCTAATTATAAGTATATTAAAAGTGAAAAAGGTCTATGCATAGTTTCTAATTTGTAATTTTAACTAGTTTGATTTTAGCTAGAGTGAGACTACCATCATCATTATATAAATAATGTTATAAGAAATATAAATTATATCAATTATTATCACGAACTCTTGATGAAAGAATACAATTATGTGGTATAATGGTATAAAATATCATGACAGCAATGTTGATAATTGATATTTCAGACCATCCGCCATTTATCTCACATGTTTTTGACTCTCATTATATAAATTAAATAAATTATAAAATATAAATGTCAATTTTAATCATGCTGAGCGAACGCACATAGACCTGGCGTTCAAAAAAAAGTATACACTGACAGCGGACACCGTTTAATGCAACACTCATCGGCTTTCTCATTCATTATAATGACTTACATACGTCGATGATGGCACCGACAATGTGGACCCACTGTGTCCGTTAATCGGTCTGAAGTACTGATAGCCCTGCGCAAAAAATCAATTTAAAAGCTCCTGACACATAATATCATCCACAACAAGCGTCATAAAAAACAAAAAATGTCATAACGACGAAAATAAAATATTATATTAAAATAATATAATCATTTTTTTTAAGCGTAGGGATACGTTTAGACCGACATAATATGATATATATATATATATGTGTGTGTGTGTGTGTGTGTGTGTATAGTAATAACTTACAGCGTTATTGGTTCGTTTGTATATTACAACGGTCCGTAATTTTCTCTACAGTACATGTATGTTAGTATATAAATAATGCGGCGAAAAGCTACTTACAAAATCGAAATAATACACACAAGTCATGATAATATAATAGTAACATAATTATGTAATAAAAACTAATGACATGATAATATGGTTAGGTATGTATCGTATAATAACGTGTGAGACGCGCAATGTATATTTCACAATTTTTTTTGTCGTAGCTGACAATAGTATAATATATAGTTGCAAAAAATACAACTTGATTAATATAATGTAAATTCTACAACTAACTAATAATAATAAAAATAACAATAATAATTACCGATGGTGGTGACAAATTGATGGTAGATCCACGGCGCTCAACGTTCGAGTGTCTCCGGATCGGCAGTCCGGTGCCAACGGGCGTGCTTCCTGGCGAAGAGGCACATGACGGTGCCACGCGAATTTTCGGCGTGTTCAACATATTGTCAGACAATCGACGATTTGGAAATGAACTGACTACGCGTAAGAAGTTGCTATCAGAACCGGAGGGCGACCCGCCAAACCACCAGCTGCCTGTTGCAGGACACGGAAACGAAAGATAGTTGTCAATTTATTATAATAATAATATTTTTCTTTTAAGTCTTCAACAACTATGGTTATAACTTATAAGTATTTTTTAAAAACAAGAAAGAAAAAGTCTTTTAAAGTCTAATTATTTAATTAAATACAATTAATTAAATCAAATGCTATATGCTATAATTATTACTTATGTTTGTATACAAGGAAAAATAGGATGTGGGTGTGACGCGTTGTTGACATTTTTGGGTTATATTTTTTTATATAAAATATCTGAAATTTTATTCAACTTACTGTTGATATAGATCGTGAGGGCCGAAAATTGATATTTTTAATTCAATTAATCATAATAAAAACTTTTACTTGGTACACAATTTAAAAAGATTACGTATAATATATTATGTTTACTTATATTTAATGTTTTAATGTCATAGATACGTAGCCAAATTATAGCAGGGTGAAAATACTTTGTTAATGATTTTTCCATTGAATTCTAAATGGATTTTTGACTACAAAGCTTTGTCAAATGATGAGCGACAAACAATTTTACTAGTGATAATCGTAGTGGTAGTTTACCACTACTGTGAAATTCATGAAGCTTATGTTTTGTATATTCAGCAGGCAGCAACATTAGAGAAATTCTATACCTAAGCGTATTTTAATTACATAGAGCATCTATAACTACCCAACACAATTTATTGCATATATTATAACTAATTATAGCTAAAATAATCAACAAACTAAATTATCACAAACATCGGATACCTTTTTGAATTGATTTTTAAGAATGTTATAATAATAAAAAATGAAAAGGCTGATAAAAAAACCAAAAAAGGTTACAGTCTTATATGCTTTTGTATATCAGATTAAGATTTACAAAATAACAATACAATAAATAATAAATAATTTGATAACGTTATTAAACGATAAAACCCATACTTTATTTACAAAAATATAAAATTTAAATATCAAACAGTCAGTTCTCCTGTGATTTAAACTAGTCAAAATATTCACAAAATACAAAGTTATATTATCAATCTTTGTTTAGGCCAGACTTCCAAAACATACAATTCGGGACAAAGGAAAATCAAATCTCTCTCTTCAACTTCTATACATGCATAACAGTTAATTACATACGTCTTCTAAAATGCCAAAAATAAAGTTAAGCACAAACAAATATTGATTTTCTGAAACTATATAAAAAAATTATCACACTATCAAACAAAAATAGCTAATACATTTATTAACTAATAGTATTTATAAATAAAATTGATTGTTGCCAATTATATAAATTTTTTTTTTTTTTTTAATATTTAATTTAATTGTGTGAGATCATAATTTTGTCATTGATGTCAAAAAAAAAAAAAAATATATATATATATTAACAATGTTTGAGCAATAATTGGTTACTTTTAAACTTTCATCAAGCAAAAAAAAAAAAATAAGTGATATTATACTGCAACTCTCAATTAAATCTTCTTACATTTTCCCTTGAATAAATGTATATAACCTTATGTATAAACATTATGTAATATTATAATAATTACATATTAAATAGAATATTTTAAAATTTATTTTTACAACTACCTACTTAATTAATTTCGGATAATACTGTAAACCACGATATTCCAAACGGTTAATCCTAATCATACATTTTATCAGAAAAATTAAAATTATCACAGTAGAAGTTCTATTATTTTTTTTACAGGTTAAGTATTCGTACCAGTTGAGTTTAATTAAAAAAATGGCATTGACGATATACGCCTGTATAATAAACAATTAACCAAAACAAAGAGTCAAAAACAAAGAAAAAATATGTATATATTTCTGACATTTAGTAGTAATATATCCAAATAATTTTGATTATTTAAATCCGGTACTTTATCATGGACCTTAATAATTAATTTTACTGGTAAAATATTATAGGTGTATAGATAATTGATAGTATCTTATTGATTATGAAATAATATATTTTGTTTTTATTATTAAAGGATTATCCTATTATAAATATTAAGAAGGGAAGGGTAGCAAAAGAAAAATATACGAGCCAAGTGATTTTCATTTATCTCAATAACGATTTTTATCACTGAGTAGTAAAAAAATATTATCTGACACTTTAAATAATATTATCCTCCCTATAGGCGTACTTTGTGGCACGACGCTATGAGATAAAATAAAACCGACACCTAGACGTTTTTATTTAAGAAAAGATTTCAGTATGATATTGTGATAATTTTAGATACTATTGAGACTAGACTATATATCCAGATAATCTACACAACTTTAAAAATATTACGATGATTACATTTTTACAGCCAATAAAAGAGACAGAAAAAAAATTAACTAAAGTATGTGTTGGATACGGAAAATGGCGGGTAATTTTCTAGGAACAACTTGGCTTGTCATTAAAGAGAAGAGATTTAATATGTTGGCATGCTATCACGTTGAAATTATTAAACCAGACGTCGTTACAGTCGAATAGATTTTTCATTGCGAAGAAAATAAATGATATATAATTTTGGTTCACTTGACATTTTCTTATTCAACGCTTTATCATTTGAGTCTTATTGAGAAAAAACCGAGTGTTTCAAAATCTACGTTTAAACCTCAATTTAATTTAAATATATCGATGTTCACATAAGTCTCGTTGTAGTCGAGAATCACTGCGTTTTGATATTATTTTTACGTTTACATGAGCTTTTAATAACATGCATTATTTTTATTTTATTTACTTTTAAACTTTATTTTTATTTTTAACTCACCCGCTGAATTTTTTCTAACCATATCTTCGGCACTTGACGTTTTGCGCGTTTCGATTTTCAAATTTGGTATGTTGAAGTTTTGCGCATGCATATTGTCAGAACTGTATAAATGTCTTAAAGGTCTATGTCTGTCGGGACTCTGCATGGATATTGTATCCAATTTCAATTTATTCCTTTGGTTTCTAAAACGATTATTATTGTATTTTATTTTTATAGTTTAAACAATTGCACATATAGCATAATATATATTAATAAAACAAATTAAAAATTAGAGAAATAGGTAAACATTAAAGTGAAAATATAGTTCTATTTTTTAATTATTCGATTTGAAATTAAATGATACATATTATTTAAATAGTTTAATAGCAAGAGCTTAATAATAATTATAATGTAATAACTTTAATCTTGACTAAAAAGTAAGAACTACAAAACACGTAATATTTATTAATTACCTGTCAATCTGTTCCAGCATATCTTGTAGAACTTCAATGAGGGTTTGAAATTGTTCTAAATTTAAACCCGGATTCATTGTGTGTGGAATCAACGTTGGCATTATTTTTGTGGCTATCATATTTACTGATAAACCGTATTTCTTGTCACGCAAAATCATACTGTATATAACTGAAAATGTCATAGGTTTTTATTGTTTACATTTACATAAAATTCAATTATAAGAGTTATACTACAGTTTTATCCGTGAAACAAAATATTTAAAATCAATAAATGGAATTGGGTTGAGTAGTTGAGATTAAAATCACGTGACGTATTTATAATATATATATTTTTATACGTTCACTTTAAACAATAATCCATACTTTTTAAAGTGCTGTTCACATTATTTCATATTTTTACATTAATAATTTTATATAACCTACTATTTTTAAAAATATAAAACGTATGAGTTTTATACACTTCATATATATCCAATATTGGACCCGATGAACCGGTCAATAATAAAAAAAATAAATTATAATATATCATAAATTTAAATTTTATATTTTTAGTAAATTTAGTTTTTTTTTAAGAAGTATGTTTGTATAGTGTTTATAATTTTGATGCTAATATGTTATAGTGAGATAATTTAATAGTACCTAAACATATTCAAATGTTGTGAAACAATATCAATAGTGGTATATTACAGGAAGAATCAATTAATGTTGAAGAAACTAGTCGCTAGATAATATGATATATCTAAACCAGAAAGACAGAATGTGAGATATAAAAGTTATGTGTCAAATTGTTACCACTCCTTAAAACTGTAATTTATTCGCATGACTACCACTAAATAAATCGCATACTTAAATTAAATTTTTGAGTTATCCATATTTCGTATAGGTATGAAAAATATGTATGTAATTTTAACGAATCACATTTGAAATTGTAATGCAGGTAATATATTTTCAAAGAAGTAGAAAATATCAAAAGATATAAACAAAAGTCTTTTTCAATAAATTAATGTATGATAACTATAAAATAAAAATACAATTTTTAATTATGGTTAGGTTAAAATGTATATTATTATGAAGGGTATTGTTTATTTATAATTGACAAATATATCTAAACATATTTTTATATATTTAAATATGTAAATCAAATTAACTAAAATAATTAATGGTATTTAGTTTTATTTAATAAAATAATGAAGTTTGTTTATTGTTTTAATATATTTTGTTATTATTCTATCTTATTTTTATTTGATCGTTTAACGTATTTTATCATTTTTAAAGTTAAATAAATTCGAAGAATAAATTGATAGTTAAGCATCACACCGGATATTTAGGAGTAAGACAAGTAAGAACACGCCGTTGTAATTATTCTTTGTTTAGAAAAATAAAAAAAACATTTATATTTGTTCCGATCTCAGTGGCATTAGCTTTCAACATCAATTTACAAAACCATTAATACAAAAAGAGAAAAAGAGTGAGTTTTCTTAATAAGAGTGTATAATTTGATTACTATACTTTATTTTAGCAATTAATTAACAACACATTTTTGGGATTATAGGATTAATGAAGAAAATCACATGATTATAATTTTATGGATAGCATAGTTTTTATCAAAGTATTAATATTTATTATAAATTATACTTTAAAACTATTTATGTAGAGTTATAAAATCCAAGAACAAAGTTGTTTAGTTATAATTTAAATGTTTATACATCAATAAAATGTAAAATCTGTAAATATGTCATACGGTGCAAATCAATTAATGCAATAGGTATACTAATACTTGTATTACATAATATATATATAATTTTATATTATGCGTTATAATAAATAAACAGTTGTGATGCTGCAATATATTTTATGACAGAATTCCATTGGTTATCGTGTAAGAGAGATGATTTTCCCTCTCTTTATATTTTGTTAAATATACAATCTAAATTTATATTTATACTCCATATTGATAGTCAGATCTTAAAAATATTAATAATCCCCAACTCCTTAAATATCTCAAAAATTGCCTTTTTTATTAGATTTTAATCATTATTATCTATTCCTTTATTTAATTTATTTTAATGTTTTCATTGTTTTAAATTATTTACACTTTGTAAGCTAATAATAGTTGGCTATATTTTTTTAAATAACAGTAATTTATTTATTTATTTATTAAAGGCTTTTTTTAGCATTTTATCTTCATATATATACTTTTTCAGTACGTTTGCGTATTACTGAACTCCATTTAAACGGCTTAAGCGATTTTAATGACATTTTTGTGTGTATTTTAATTGGTTCTTAGGTGATATAAAGTCAAATTTGAATCCGGTAAGTAGTGCTGAAAATAATAATAATAATAATAATAATAATAATAATTGTTTATATAGTGTTGATTTAAAAAAAATAAAGTTAAGAACAAAGTCATGGGTATTTATTGACGAGGGATGAGAAAATATTGGTCGACATACATGGAATTTACAAATAGTCTACACTTGTCGGTTTAAAAGAATGAAATAAGATCAATCGACAGATAATGCAAATATAAAAGACCAGATTGCAAACATATGTGCAAATGAAAGTCAAAAGCAACCCAACAAATGTCTCTGAGCTAATACATTAAGACAAAGACAAGCGTGTCAACAAGCAACCGACGCACACAGAGCACATAAACGACAGCATCTGCAAGTAATCGATCATTGACATTTATTTCATCACTTCTCAGTCTTGCATTCGAATATAAGTTGGACATGTTACATAGGTAGACCATTAAGTTTGTTCATCTATACACGTTAGGTATTGACAAAAAACAGTGTTTATCAAAATATTGTATTAGGATAAAAAAACAAAACAAACTTAATTTCTATTATAGAATTAAGATTCAATATTTATTTCCATACTTTACTTTTTTAAAATTAATAAAAATATGACTTTCAAAGAAATGATTTGAGTTTTTTCTTTATTAAATATTATTTAATCAAAATTAAGATTGTCTAAATTTGTATCATATATTATTAGTAAGTCGTAACATTTCTTTGAAATTATGAACACACACACACACACACACACACACACACACACACACACACACACA